AACAGGTTGCTAACCGTCTTATTAACTTGCAGGGGAAAAAACCGTTCATTTTATGCAATAGAAGTGAGATAAATTACCTATAAAAGTATAAAATGGAAAAAAGCAGGGGAAAAAATCAATAAGACAAATGAATATGCTAGGGGAAAGATGATACAGGACTCAATCATTTGTCATTGTGCAGAGTTTGGATAGTAGCTTGTTGCCACAGGTTTATAAAAGTGGTCAGTTATTCAATTATAAAAGCAACACTTAATAGCGTAAACGTAAACCGTCTGAGCTAAAAAATAAGCTCTGGCAAGTTTTGACAGCCGGCAGCAAAGGTTAGTACAACCTTTCACACAACAATTTCACTTTCACCTGAGTGACTGTGGTCTGGAAGTACTGTCTTATTTCATGTTTAACGAGTACAAACTTTTTTTGGTAAACATTTTCTGGCCTGCAGGCTTGTGCGAGATTTTGGAAGTCTGTCACCAATATCTAAGATTCTATACCGTGACTACAAGACTAGTGTGCTTCAAATGTGGAGGAGTGAAGGCTTTGTTTGCCCTCACGTACTCCACAGCTGGGCGGGATCTCTCTGTGGATGTGGAGCTAGGTTGACGTGTACATTCACGAGAGTTGATGTGTCCTGACTGCGGCAGAAACAAGGAAGTTTTTCGATTTGAGCTTCTGCCTTTGGGACTGATGCAATATTGGGCATTTTTAATCCACGTGTCGTTTTGTATGTAGATGAGCATATTGTCAGTGCGATGAAAGCACACTTGAGTAAACATTGGTTTTACCACGAAATCAATAAAACTGTGAAAACAGACTATTTTTTTAATTTTATTTTTTTAATGTATTATTTTTTAATGCTTTTTTTTTTCTATTTTTTTAATGTATTATTTTTTAATGTATTTTATTTTTTTTAATGCATTCTTTTTTAATGTTATGACAAATGATGAAAATTACAGTTTCAGTAATAAATGCTTGTGCAGTTTTTTGTGAGATATTACCAGCTTTAACCAGTTCTTACTCTAATTAAATTACTAAATATTTTCAAGGACATAAAATATCACTGTCTATAATTAATATCTGGGTTCTGTAAAGCACCTCCAGACCAAATTTTGCTTTGCTTTTTGCTTTTTTTTTTCTTCAGTCTTTTTTTTTTTTTTTTTCTTCAGTCTTTTTTTTTAAAAAAAAATTTTAACCACGATAAACTGTCCAAGTTTATCGACAAATACCAACATTTGATATTCAGTGACTAAACTAATGTCTTATTTTGAAAGATGCACCATGGTGTGGCCACTGCAAGGCCCTGGCTCCAGAGTATGCCAAAGCTGCTGGCATTCTGAAAGCTGAGGGGTCAAAGATTCGCCTGGGTAAAGTGGACGCCACAGAGGAGACTGAATTGGCACAGGAATTCAATGTCCGGGGATACCCCACCATCAAGTTCTTCAAGGATGGAAAAAAAGAGTCACCCAAGGAGTACTCTGGTGAGAACATAAGTATTTTTTTCAGTACGGTCCTGATATTATCAGCAATCTACTTAATGTTGCTTTAGTTTAACACTTCAGATTTTAAACAAAACAAAAGCATGGAATAAAACAAATAAAACTATAGAAACATTTAATTTTTTTTAATATAATTGTTAATGGTTTATTCTAGTACAATTGCTGCAGAGGTTCATTCAATTCTCTAAGAATTAAAACAGTCACCAGATCCTTGTGCTCCCTTTATTGCAATATGATCTGCTGAAACAGTGCCTCAGCCAATCAGCGTTGCTGTGACTCCAATGTGGGTGTGGCCTCGTCTGCACGTTCCTCTCATGCTTACTCTGGTCTGGAGAGATGTGCAGTTCTTCACGTCTCCTCTCCACTGCTGGCCTGGGCCAGGCTGAGTTTAGAAAGGGAGGGCAGATGGAAGTGGTTTTTGGGGAAATAAATACACTCTTCTCTCGTCTCTCACACACCACAGCAAGACTCTGCCGTCTCACTTCATCAGCATGTGTTTCTTGGAACGATTGCCCATGTGTTGCATCAGTCTGATAGTAGGTAATTGATTTGAGGATTGCGAAGTGGGTGATGTGTCCAAAGATTCCCAAAAAAATATTTAAAATAGTATTCATGAAAGTAAAAGATTCTCATAAACTAATAGTATAAAATACCCACTAGGAAATGAGTCAACAGAAATAAATTGATACATTAGCTACTTTTTGAAAATGTATTTGAACATTAACTTATTAATGTTTGTTAGTACATTGAACACAGCCCTTAATACATTTCAATATTTTCCCCACACTACTTCATTTCAGGGGGTTAAAAATGCAGTGAAAATGTTTTGTAAATACAGTTGCATGTTCCTCAGCATTTAAAAATGTGTTGTTTTTTTCTTGTGAATAAAAGTATAATAAAAAGGTGTTAAACATGAAAACAAGTGTCAAATGTTGCTTTATTTTAACTCTTGACAGGACTTTTAACATCTTTGCATATTGTGTTGCAGCTGGCAGACAGGCTGAAGATATTGTCACCTGGCTGAAGAAGCGCACAGGCCCCGCCGTCGCCACCTTGGCTGGGGTCACTGAGACTGAGTCTCTGATTGCTGACAATGAAGTGTCAGTCATTGGTTTCTTTAAGGTACGTTTGGTTAAAATATTGTGACAGACAATCATTTAATTCAAAATATAGCTGGTAGCATTCATGTAAATGTAAAAGACTTAATTAACTAAAAAAATTATTTATTATTTATTTTTCGCATCTCCAGGATACTGATTCTAAAGATGCAGAAACCTACAAAAAGGCAGCTGAGGCCTTTGACGACATTCCATTCGCCATGACCTCCGATGATGATGTTTACTCCAAATTTGAGGTTTCTAAGGATAGCATTATCCTCTTCAAGAAGGTGACTGCAACATCTGATTTTTCAGTTTTTATTCTTTCCTCTTGATGTTCATGTGAGCCTGTTTGAACATTTACACCTCTGAACAAGGTGCACTACAGTTCAATGATTTGATACCTACCGTCCCAACATGTATGCTGGTGATAAAATAACCTAAAAATGTTTGAATAATTTTCCAACATATAATGCATATAATCATGTACAGCTGAAACACTTGTTTTTTTACATCCAAACTTTGGTAAAGCCATTGCCATCAACCTCACATGTCCTCTGTCAGACATCGTTTGAGTCGTGTGTCTGTTTCTTGGCACCTGACACCACTTCATTAAAATGAAGTTGAGGAGCTTTAAATTAGCAAACAGAGGATTCACACTTTGTTTAACTCTATAATACAGATAATACAAAATGACCCACTAACATGACATGGGACAATGACATTACCTAATAATAACCCCCAAAAAATGAGGCAACACAGTAGAAACAGGCTGTCACTGACCAGTTTTAAAATGAAATTCCGACTTTGTGAACAGTTTAATTCGAGTAGAACATTTTATAAATCAGAAATCAATAACATCCAGTGCAAACAGGCAAAGCACAAAACAAGCTGCTTCATGTTATTTGGAGTCCTGTTTACTGTCATTTTGAGCATTAAGTAGCTTTTTATATTGCAATGGTGTTAAATCAAGTAACCTAACCAACCAGAGATAGTAACTTTGATCAAAGCTGAATGATAGTAAATAAATGTGCTTGTGTTACAAATTTGGTCCTTGAGGTACTGAATGATGTTTTAGTCAAGCACATAAAGCTGTCCTCTCTGCACTCTGCGATTGTCCTGTCTCTGGTCCTTCTTTGTAACATGAGTTTCCTGGTAACTTTAACCCACAGACTGTTGACATGTGGCCTCATTGTTTACAGTTCAGCAACGTGTACCACAACAGGCACTTGGTCTTAATCAACAGTTGGAGTCTTTTACTTGTTTATTGCAGCAGGAGTTAAGAGCTTGAGGTTTAACATCTCAGTCATCACCCATAAGGCTGGCAGAGGGTGACTGAAAAAAAAAGACCTTCTCCTATTTCCTGCCAGTAATGGCTGCTGGGCACAGCTGTAATGTTACTATTTTTTACACTCAAGTGCAGTTGCTGGGATTTGCCAAAGGATTTCTCTAATGGGTGGGATTGTTGTCGGGCAGACCAGATGAACAGATAATACAGGAAACTTAGTGTTGACATGTTTGTTTTTTTTGTTTTTTTTTTTGTCTTTAACAGTTTGATGAGGGCCGCAATACCTTTGATGGAGAAGTGACCAAAGAGAATCTCATGGCATTTGTCAAAAGCAATCAGCTACCTCTGGTCATCGAGTTCACCGATCAGGTAATAACCAGAGTTAAGTTGCCCATCAATTTTCCCATGTGTGGCACCCGATAGTCTAATCCATTTTTTTTTTCTCTTCTACAGACTGCCCCTAAAATCTTTGGCGGAGACATCAAGTCCCACATCCTCATGTTCCTGCCCAAAGGTTCCTCTGACTTCCAGGACAAAATTGATCAGTTTAAGAAAGCTGCAGAGGGATTCAGAGGCAAAGTATGTGTACTGTCGTAGAAAGACACATTTGTACATTCCACAAACAAAAACCAAAGAGTGTTTTTGACGTCTCCCTGCTCTCCACCCCCAGATCCTGTTCATTTTCATCGACAGCGACATTGACGACAACCAGCGCATCTTGGAGTTCTTCGGCCTGAAGAAGGAAGAGTGCCCAGCCATCCGTCTCATCACCCTGGAGGACGAAATGACCAAGTACAAGCCAGAGAGCGACTCCATCACAGCAGAGGCCATCACTAATTTCTGCACACTGTTTACTGAGGGCAAGCTCAAGGTAAGGGGTTATGAGGCGTTAAGTGAAAGGGTGAGGTGAGATGAAAAGCTAGAGAGAGACTTGCAAATGACGATGGTATAGTTCGAAAAACCAAATTAGAACAGACAAGTTCTTACTACTGGTGATGCAATTGTTTGTGTTTTTCCTTTTACAGCCCCATCTCATGAGCCAGGACATTCCTGAAGACTGGGAAAAAGGCCCTGTCAAAGTGTTGGTGGGCAAGAACTTCGAGGAGGTTGCCTTCGATCCTACCAAGAACGTCTTTGTGGAGTTCTGTAAGTGCTGTTTTGCTCTTTCCAGTTACTCTGTACTGTTAAAGTTTGTGTTTAAACTGCTGCAGGGTCCCTTTTATAGGTTAAGGGCTCGTCTTTTAAAACAGCTGTGGCGTCAAAGTTCAAGTCTCTTTTTTTCCTTTCTTTGTTGGTGCCTTAGTTCTTTTTATATTCCAAAGTGTTGAAGCTAAGGTTTCAATAAAGAATTCTTAGCCTAAAGTTCAGTAAATAAATGAGTTACAGTAACAGATGTAGAAAATGTATCTAAATTTAGTCAGTTAGGAATTGGTGGGGCGGGGCTTCCAAAGCCTTCAACCTAAAGTTGCACGTGCCATTTTCAGTGTGTTGGCCTGTGTCCAGCTATACATCACACATGGATAAAGGCTACTTACAAGCATGTAAAGACGGCTACATAAATAGCCTGCTGAAGTACACTAAAAAGATTACGAAGATTACTGGGTGAAATACACTTTTTAATCAAAGGTTTAACAACAATCTCCCTTTTATTTGTGATGTTCAGATGCACCATGGTGTGGACACTGCAAGCAGCTGGCTCCAACCTGGGAGCAGCTGGGAGAGAAGTACAAGGACCATCCTGACATCATCGTGGCAAAGATGGACTCCACAGTCAATGAAATCGAGGAAGTAAAAGTCCACAGCTTCCCCACACTCAAGTTCTTCCCTGCAGGAAATGAACGCAAGGTGAGAGCACTGTCTTGGTGTACCATAAAACAATGAACGGTGTGTTGACACACAGATCACAACCACAAGTTACTCTCAGAGAATGTCATTAGTTCCTTCGAGTTTACCAGCGTTGCCGTTTATCTGCCTCTGTGCAGCTGTGTTCCCTGACCTGACAGTCTTGTGTCGACGTTCAGTTTAAGAACTGTTTTAACCTCAGTGAAGTCATCATCATCTAATCTATAGATCAGACAATGAGACAGCTTGAATGAGGCATGCCAAAGAGGAAAGTTCAAATACTGGTTACAAAGGGTAGATTGCAATCTGTGGTTTACTGTTGACTTCATTGGAAACCTGTCACTGTGTTGTTGCAACAGTCTGTGGTTTCTTTCTACCACCACGCTGAGTCACATGTAACTATCAAATTTCAATGAAAATGTTCAATGAAAATGTTTTTGCAAATCCGTGTAAAAGTCCAATCATTATTGGACAGGATACATTAAAATACATTTAACGCCATGCATCATTTATAAATAACCATGTGGATTTCTTGTGTGACACATCTCGCCATGTGTACGTATTGTAAAATGTCTGGTACCATATCTGCCGGTCTGTTAAACGCCTGTTGTGTACACCTATTTGATCTACAGGTAATTGATTTCAATGGAGAGAGAGTGCTGGACAGCTTCACCAAGTTCTTAGAGAGTGGTGGCAAGGAAGGCGGTGCCCCCGCAGGAGATGAAGACGATGATGATACTGATGCAGAGGTGAGATCATTTTCACTGATACACATCGCATCATTTATTGGCAAATGTATAGGATACTACTGAGTTGTAGAGTTGTTCTCAGCAATGTCTTATCAATGTCGCAAGCTGATCAGAACAGTGTATTATTCGTTCATTTTCTTTGGCAGAAAAACATCTTATACCAAAGTGAAAAGAAAGAAGAAATAATTTATTTTTTAGCACACATTCTGATTTGAACATTTAAAAAAAAAAACTAAGAAAATAAACCAAATAATCTTTACATTGATAACTGAAGTTATCAGTGGAAGTGTGCGCTTGTCTCTGTTATTTTAATGATTTACGGTGTGATAGTAAAACCTGACTTAGTTCTGCTTCGGAGACTGTGCACATTTCTCTTTGAAACTCTAGTGCAGACTGAAGACATATTTGGCATCATCCAAAGCTGCCTAGAATAGTTTTATGAGACAAGGTCCTGTGAGGGTGTTTGGTTGTAACACTAGAACTGACCTACTTGGCTTTTTGTTTGTCAGAGAGTGATGTGCAGAAATGATGGTTGACTTGAAGTCACCAAAAAGCATTTTTCAGTACTGGATATCAAGCCAAACGATGCATTTTCCTGTGGCCTACACTACTGTTGCTACAACTGCACTTTAGTGGGAACAGTCCTTAAGAGCACCTTCCCACTCCACACTTCCCGTGCCTCCACACCTCCTTCCCAGAAGTCTAAACAGAGCAGAGCCCACTTTTGTCTGCTAATGCCTCCCTCAGCTGTTCTGGCTATTTACTGGGCTTCATAGGGACACTCAGCCCTCCAACTGAATGTGGCACGTGTGAGGCTGAAGTCCCCATTAGTGTCCTCCTGTGTCACATCTCGCCCATCCATCTACGGACGAGACATGATGTCACTAGGCCAAACAGACGGTGTTTGTTGCCAGGCTCTTAATGTTGGGGAATTTGCTTCTCATCGTTTTCCTTTTCTCTAAGTTATATCACAATTCTTTTAAGGTGACATGTATTGAAGAAGATCTAAATTGAGAGCATAAGATGCAGCCTAACTACATCAGGCAGAACAAACCCACAAAATATTTCATGGTTTATCATAATGTCCATAGTTTGCAACTAGCTGACTGTGTCCATTTCTTAACAGTCTATGACAGCGTTTCCAAAATTGTTTTTCTGGGGACCCTTATTTTAAAAATCACGAACCCTTGCGACCCAAGTCAATAGACGTTATTTGTAAACTCCTGGGAAACATGATGTGAGACGACCCACAAAACAAATCTTGGGACCCACCTTAGGGGCGCGACCCAGTCTTTGGGAAACAATGGTCTATGAAGTGTGATGACCTGTAATCCTGTTTTGGCAGATTTTTTTTTTTTAACAATATGTGAAACTGTGCAAATATTCGAACATGTGGTTTACAGGTTTAAATTCTGTCTCCTCTTCACTTTAGGATCTGGACGATCTAGAGGACGGACAGGATGATGACTTTGATGATGATAGACATGATGAGTTGTAGGAGCTAGCAGTGGAAAAAGAGAGCGAGAGAGGAGACAAGTCCCGCCCCAACCCTTCAAACAAGTCACCATCACTACTTTCACCTTCTTGTGGACCTTTCCTGTCCTGTGAACATTAATACTCCCCCTTTAACAGCCTCTCAGTCAGTGCGTTTTAAAAAAAATTGCCTGTTATCCATCTCTCTGGTTTGGTCAGTCAGTCCACCTGTGGTGTGACAGGGCTTTTTCCTTTTCAACCTTGCAGCTTTCCGCCAGATTCTGGGAATTCTGAGATAAAACACACCTTCAATGCCCGTCTCTACAGCAGCGCCTTAAATAATGGAGAAAAAAAAAAGTCATTAGGATCTTGTTTTGTAAATGTGTTTTCCCTGTAAAAAATGTTCTCCCCTCCCCTTGTGTCATCCTACCTTTGTTTAGTGAGGGTATGATTTGTGTAGTAGCTTCATTTATGTGTAGATGGTTGTTTTTTTTTAACCTCCAGAGCACTCAAGTCCTACGTGTTGGTTTGGTAAGGACTGAACTCTCAGGGGGCAAGGGGCCCAAACAGTAGATGTCTAACGTTTTGCAGTGTCTTCTCACTAAACCGGTACCCCTACAGTTTTTCCAGTGTGGCACACAGGTCCCACATTTGTAGCTGAGACCAGTAATGCTTTCTTTTTTTTAGTTAGTTGGGGGCAGTTCACTTTCTCCTTTGCTTCATTCCCAAAAGTTCTTGGTCGCCTTCTTCCTTTTCAGCTTAGCTACTGACTTGTTATATGGGGGAAATACTTTTTATTTAATTGCTTTCACAATGAGTTTTTTTTTTTTTTTTTTAATTTAGACTTCAATGTAATATGATATGATATGATACCATTGTACCCCGCTGTAGCCAATTGGACCTGTTGGGGGCAGAGTTGGCCCTTTGGTCATACTCTCAGACCTGGGATGGTTTCTGGAGCCAGATCTGATAGGTTGCACTGCATTTATGCCTAATCAGAGATTCATCAAGGTTACTAAAGCAGATAGAGATTGGTACAGTTTACTGGTCAGGTCGGTCTGAGAGAAATGTCTGTCTGTGTCTGAGGGGTGGGGATGAATCTTGCACAGCCCCCCCCATGTCTCACCCATACTGTACCCTCATCATCTCTTTGGACTCTACCCAACACCCTCCTTGCCACTGTGTGCGTGTCTGTGTGTGTTGTGTGAATTGGGTGAATACTTGTGAGGTATTGGATGACTAGTTATTGTTTTTCTGGTCATTCATTGACGTGTGTGTGTGTGTGTTTGGCATAGTGAGGAAGCTGGAGTAGAGCGAGGAGATGGATGTGACAGATGTACAGCAGTCGGGTGAGAAATAACGAAGCATTCCATCATATCCAAAATGATGTGGTTAACGTGAAATGGTGGCCAATAAACAAAATAATAAAACACGTTTGTCCACAGTTCGTCAACTTTGTTACTGTATTAGACCTTATTGAATTCAGCCGTGTTTGTCAATCCTGGTCCGGCATAGGGGCAGCCAAGCGTAGGGACGTAGGAGATGGTTCTTCTCGTAAGACTGTGAATTGGGTGATTGGCAGATGCAACCTGGTTAAAAGATGAATAAAAATAAGCCTGGGAAGTTGCAGCTGCCACATGCTGTTTAAAAAGATTCAAAGACATGTGTATATATGTATACTAATAATATCTAATGTTGTAACATGTAGTCCTGTTTAGAGGTGGTCTGTGTGATCGATGGCTAGCACTTCAAATCATAAGCTTCATTTTGTTGGAAGAAAAAAAAAGATTTGGAACCTTAGTTTGAGAGCCTGTCTGAAATGATGACAGTCTTTAAAACAGATCATTTCAAAATGTATTCCAGTTGTCATAGAGACAGTGATGCAGACCTCAGTCACTTAGAACTGATCATCACTCCTACTGTGCCTCACATGGACTAATAGAGCACATGATACGACTGCAGCCTTGCTCAACCCTTGTCACCAGGTGGCCCCTCCTCAGTCCCCGGCCCACCGCCTTGCTCAACCCTTGTCACCAAGTGGCCCCTCCTCAGTCCCCGGCCCACCAGTTGGCACTGACACACTCCAGCTGTTTACCATGGGTGTTTACGAGAACCCCAACACCCCCCACCCCTTATCTCCGCCATCTCAATAATATGTCTACGTGGGTTATATTCAGTTATCCTCAGTGTGACAACACTGTCCCAGGTTACAGGCGGTCATGTCATAAGACGTGAAGTGTCTCACGGGCTAATGCCCTGAGCAAGGAGCAACTCATCTTCCACATCTCGTCACTGGAGTCAGCTTTCTTAAAATAGGCTGACAGAGAGTATAAGGGGAGGCACACGCACCAGGTCTCCAGACTAACCTCCACTGTTAATACAGGAGAGACCACTGAGCAGCGAGAGAGACTAACTAATCTTTAAACAGCGCTACCTCTGACTCCTCATAGACTCTAGCAAATCTGATCTGTATTTACTACTTAAAGGAAAGAGGTTACCTTTTTTGTAAGACTCTTAAACTAAGAGCATGATGAAGTACTATCAGTGCCCGGTGCCCCAGACTATGGGAATGAAGACCTATGCAGACAAATGCGGAGTCCCACTCAACTGCAAGAGTTCCGCTTCGTTGAAGCCCATCCGCAGTGTCCACTTCCCCAATGACATTCTCTTCCAGGACTACGTGAGACAGGGTGAGCTGGAGAGGATTGGACTATTCATGCGGGCCAAGAGAGTCACTCTGGACACCATGTACACCTCAGGTGAGTGTATTGACACGACGACATCAAGCTGTGAAACCTTCATCTCGGAGATTTAGGAGCAAACTTTGGCCTGCGTCCTCAGGTATGGCAGCCATTCATGAGGCCGTCCTGTCTGGCAACCTGGAGTGTGTGAAGCTGCTGATCCAGTATGGAGCAGATATCCACCAGAGAGATGAAGAAGGATGGACACCGCTGCACATGGCCTGCAGTGACGGATTCCCACAGATTGCACGGTAAGCATGGATTTTCACTGTGTGGTTAATGAGTACATCATCAGCAAAACCTTTTTTCTGTACAGCACGATGTGTACATTCGTTCTATGAAAAATGCATTTATAAATAAATGAAGTTAAAAGGGGTGATCTTAAAGTGCAACATGTCAGACTGTAGATGAAAAATGTCTGTTTTGAACATGAATTCAAATTAGATTTTTAAGAGGGAGTGAAAAAATGAAAGTGATCTTGCACCAGGGACAAGAGGTGAAACTAAGCAAAAGCTAATGCATAGGCGTCACTAAATTTACAATGACACTAAGTGGACTGTTTTCAGTGGCCAGGGTACAGGTTCTAAAAAAAACCAACTAAATAGCCAGTTGGAGGTGGCTAACATGATATGTTTATATATTTGACCAGCACATACATGGTAAAGATGGACTTCTCAGCTCGGTTACCTGCACAGAAGTAAGAGAAGCTGCTGCATTCCCGCACCTCACTGACCTTTTTTACGCTAGGCCTTCACTGACACCGCTGTANNNNTGACAGAAACGTCTGTTGGCGTTGTCAAAGCAGCAAAATTTGACACCTTTTATTATGTTATCTTGCAGCTACCTTCTGTCACTGGGTGCTGACCCAGAGCTGGAGAACGAATGCGGGGAGAGACCCCGTGACCTAATCGACCCAGAAAACAAGGAGCTGCTGGAGCTCTTCGGCGTGGCTGTCAATGACTGATCACGATTGGCTCTTTACGCCATAGACTTTTGTCTGATGCCTATAATATAGCAGTGCTCTGCAGCAATGGACAGAAAAGGCCTCATGATGGCTGAGCTGTCGGGTTTTCCTAAGCTCTCGGAGTCCAGGAGCTTTGGGACTGTGGATATCAGGCGAAGGCAGGACTGACAGAGATTGAGTCCTGCTGGTTGCCTCCCATGCGGAGTGAAGTTTTGGTGGTGCGAGGTTCAGCCTCTGATGACTGTATGAGTCTAGTAAAGAGCTTTAGATCCTTGAAATGCTGCAGCGAAGCAAATCAATCATTTGACGTGGTGGTGTTGTTGGTTTGGTATGGCATGGGCTTGGATGGAGGAGAGCTTGAATGTTGCGAAACCCGACGCTGTTGTTGCTCTTCAGCTCATTTGCACCTCCGTCACGCACTGTGATGCTAAGTTTAGAAAAGCCAAACTGTCTTGTTTTCAACATTTGTTGACCAGAAAGCTGGCAAGTGATTTTATTGTCTTTGTTTGTTGATAAATTTGACTTGTTTTGTGTCAATTCTATTGTTTTTAAGCAGAGTTTTATACTTCATGAATGAGTGATGTGAGTATTCTGCTTCTTGGTTATGTTTAAAAGAATAAAGAACAGAACAAGTGCTGCTAGTACTAATCACAAAAGCCTTATTTATTCTCAGTTTTATTTTAATTATGAAACCAAGCTCTGTCTTGCTATGGAAACCTCCACCTCACAGGTTCTTAGTGTCCTACACCTCAAACTTTCTGGCTTTGTGCAAGATTATTAAATTCAAATTCAAACTAATGTCGTGCATTCAGTTAGCTTGGATACTAATGTGTAAAATGATTTGGAAATAAATTATTCAACTGACTTTACATGACGTTTTCACACAGACGTTTTGCACAGGCACCTCTTAAAGTTAATGAAAAAGTCCAGTTCAAGATATTTTTTATTGTATCAGAAGGACAAGTACAAAACCATTATTCACATTTATATGAACACAATATATACAGCAGAGACAGAAGGGACACTTGAGTCTTTGCAAGTACAACAGCGCCACTTATGCGTCACTCTTTGAACTTCCACTCCTGTCGACACATGGGACACTGTTGCTGCACCTGCTGTGAGTTCAGCCACTTTAAGATGCAGTGCATGTGGAAACAGTGGGAACACTGACCCCACACGAGCGGACAGTCGTCTCCAGGCACTTTGCCTAAAAAATAAAGTTGTTATTGTTAAATAAAATTGCCTTGACAAGATAAAAAAAACGATAATCCTAATAATGTATTTGATATAGGCATCTGAAGGGATGGAGTCAGTGATTAGCAGTGACTTGGGGAAATACAATTAAGATTAATTTAAAATTGGTTGAATTAGCTAAATACAGTATATAAAGCTACGCCGCAAACATGTTAATAAGGTGAATATTGCACAGAAGAAATCACATTCTGCTTAAAGCAGAAAAGATGAAATTAAACCATAAAAAAACTTCTAGCAGACATTATATTAAAAAGAATAGACTGCAAAATGTGTTATATTTTGCCAAAATGTCGCTGCCACAGTCTAAACTTTTAAAACGGCAAGCCTTAATGATACTACTCAAGACTTTTGTAGCACACGTAATGTCATATTATACAGTATGTAGTGNTAATACTCACAATCTGGACAGCAACCGTTGAAGGGCATCCTGCAGATACCACAGTTCTCATCATTAGCCACCCAGAGCCAGGACGCCACACCGTTCCACTGATGGATCTTTACCTTCATTCTAAGTCAGACTGGAGCAGAAAATAAAACATCCACGTTAGCATGTGCGCTAACGTCAGGGCTACAGTGGACTCATAATTTCTCATCTCGTCACCTTACCTTGGACCTGCTCCTTACGATTCACCAACCTACGACGCAACATTTGCATGCATCCAGCATAGGTTACTCTGTGAGTTGTTGTGCAATAATAAACATATCGTTTCGAGTTTTATGGGAAACGTAACTGAAACACCAGTCAAAATTTCTTCTACTGTCGGATTTCCGACAGTATGCTGGAAGATACAACACTGCCCTCCTCGGGTAGTCTAGGTGAATGCTGGAGAACAGCTAACGTATTATTTCTGTTACTTCTGTTACATTTAAAAAAATAAATAAAAATAACATAGCAGTTTATCGAATACAGACTACAACTGCTCCATTGTTGGATATTTATAGGATTGAATCCCAAAAAACATGTACATTGTTTGTCTGTATTTGTATAATATTGCGGCAGTGGCGGGACAATTTAAACTTTTACACATATTGTTTTTTTTTTATTATTATTTTTAATGAATTTTAGGTCCTTCTAAATACATTTTCTTCTTTGTGGAATAAAGTGGAATGAGTGGTAAATGTACTGCATTGTACGAGTCTGTTAGTGCAACGCCAGTCCTATAGGAGGCGAACGTGTACTTTTAACCTCCATCAAATTCAACCGATAAGAACAAAGGCTTCGACGCAGTGGTGTTACGTCATATCCGATTTATAGTTCCGGTACTTTCAACATCCGCGCCAGTTTGGAGACAAACATCTGGAGAATCGGAGACGCTAGAAGTTCTTTGTCTTCAGCTTACCTGTGCCTGTAAACCGTTATGGCTGATAAAATGAGCATGTCTCTTGACGATATAATTAAAATGAACAAGAAAGGAGGAGGTGGCAGCGGCGCCGGAGGAGGAGGAAGAAGAGGTGGCGGTTCAGGTCGGACCGGTGGTTCTTCGAGGCCGATGAGGAGTCGACCGAACAACTTCAACCGGGAAAGGAACAGCCGACCCACACCGTACACCAGGGTATGAAAGAGGAACTGCCTTTTTTAAAATATTATATATTTCAATGTTGGATTCTTGCAACAAAGGCAAATTTAAGTCTCACGATTATAATAAAAGTAGTTGAATGTGGTTTATATTAAAATCATTCCCCCAAAAACAGTTAAGCTATGTGTATCTTACAATGATAAATTCCAACGGTTCTTTGAAACAAAACGCTTTCTAAACGTCGCCAAGCGGTACTTATTTTTTTTCAAGATGGCTGCCGTGCGTGGGTTTTCCATGAGTCGACAGGTGAAGGTTGTTACTGGCTGTGATTAGTTTACTAATTGAAGTGTAAAACCTATTGTCTACAGAGCAACTTTAATGGCGATCTCGAATATCTAGACATCCGTTTCCTTACTTTAACTTTGGTTATCAATAATAACTTTAGTTAGCTATTACCCTTTTTTTCATTATCGTAGCTGACTCTTTATTTATAAAACATAGATTGTGTCTGGTTTGATTTCCTAGGCTGCGATACATGTTAGCCTTGGCTACGATATATTCTTGGACACGTGAAGAAGTAAAGGGCTATCCAGACCCTGAACATAACCACAACACGTGACGTCACCACGTTTTAAAGAATTGCCGCTCTGGCGCCGAGATACGACCGCGTTCTGATTGTTTGGTCTGTGAAGAATTGATGTCTATGTCACTCCCTTTTATTGCCCTTCACAGCCCAGGGAATTACCAGACAAATGGCAACACGACATGTTTGAAGAGCATGACAGCGGACGCAGAGCACAGACCACAGAAACGGAAAGGAATGTGGAAAGTAGTGGCAAACTCCTTGTTTCCAATCTGGATTTTGGAGTCTCTGATGCAGATCTCAAGGTAATATAAACAATCTAATCATTGCCTTGTTTGGTAGCTGTGTATTGTGTTGCTAAGTTTCTCATTTTGTTTCAGGAGCTTTTTTCAGAATTTGGACCGCTAATGAAGGCGTCTGTACACTATGACCGATCAGGCCGCAGCAAGGGATCAGCAGATGTTCATTTTGAAAATAAGGCAGATGCACAAAAGGCCATGAAACAGTATAACGGTGTTCCTCTGGATGGTAAGAATTCCGTTTTCATTTTACGAAGGTGTTAAGAAAAGGAATCTTTTTTAGAGACAATGAGTTCTCACATTTACTTTTGCACATCCTAGGTCGCACTATGGAAATCCAGCATGTGACTTCAGAAGTCGGTTCTTCGAGTAGACCATCAACACAAAGGCAAGTCCTGTGAAAAGTTACACTGATTTAAGATGATATATATGATTAATACTTTTTAAATGTCAACCAAAAGATGATTGACTTTTTTTTTGTTTTAATGATTTACATCTGCCATTAGTCTTTTACTAGTATCTTTAAGGAAGTCACACAGTGATGTCTTGTGATTGTAATATGTAAACAAATAACATTGGAAGAATTTCTTGCCTGTTGACTCCATAATTTCTGATTCTTTCTTTGTGTAACTGATATGTAATAAGGTTAGTTTGCTGTTAAAGTAACCTGTCCTCACATGCATTATCTCTGTATTTTCAGTAGTGGTTTTGACCGCAGTAGACTTGGTCAACCCAAGTTTGAACGTCGAGAGAGAGGTGAACAGAGGCAACGTGGAAACAGTAGAGGGAACCGGGGTCGAGGAAGGGGGAATGGAAGCAGACCTCAGCTCTCTGCAGAGGAACTGGATGCTCAGTTAGATGAATACAATTCCAAAGTAGGTTTTAAAAAGTAATTCTAGAAGTATGCTGTCACTTCATTTTACTGTGAACACCTCATGACAGTTTTGTTAATTTTGTGTCTTTCAGTTTCAAATGGACACCAGCTAAAGGGCACTGAGGTTGATATTGACCTTTAGCTTTTTAGACACTTAAAACATTTTTTAGATTCGGGTTAAACTGGTGTTGTGACTCAAACAAACATGATGGGTGTTTTAAAACCATTTAATTTCTTAGATAACTGTGCTATTTTTTTATTTTTATAAGAATGGTTTTGGAACTTTATTATTAAATGGCTACGAACCATCTTTTTTGTTTTTTTTTTTGTTTTTTTTACATAGGTTTGTTTTTACAACCTGTTGTATTATCAAAAATTATTGCAGTTGTGTTTATGTACACCATTCCAATCACTTTGTACTGTATAGATGTGATGAAAATTCTCAAAGTGTTTTGTATATAATTACACTAAGGAACTGTTTTCCAGTGTTCTGTCTATTTTTCCTTTCTTAAGGTTTCTCTTACTATGTTTATGCTGAAATCATTTCAAAGGAATTATAAATCTATTCACACTAGAAAGCAGTAATATTTGCACGAATGTGTAAATCATGACTTTAGGCCACCACATTTTTTGTGTATGGGTGACCAAGGGTAGTGAGGTGAAGAATATTCAGGATTCTGGTTTCCTAAAAGCAATAGTTTCTCCATATTTGGGAATGCCTCTGCTCCCCTCTTTTTTATTTCTTTTTTTTTTTTTTTGCTCCAACCACTGCTCAGTTTCTTTTTTCTCCTGAAATAGCAATTCAGGGAGAGAGGGGGAGGTGTTTTTTCATGTCCACTTATTTTAAATTTAAAGATTAGCCAGATACAGTGTTAAAACTTTATCTTTCACGGCCAGGCATGTCCAGATCCAGGTGTCATTTTGTCTGATTTTAAAAGCTAGATAAAACATTTGATGCATCATATTGGTAAAAGTTAAAAAATGGTTACATAGCGGGCAACTGGACGGGGTAGCTTTTTTTGGATGAGAGTACCTCCTCGAGTAAAACGTCTTTAAAAAAGTATTATATAGCGTCCAGTAGGGAACGCTGTCGCCGTTCTAAAGACATTTAAATGGAAATCATATTATTAAATATAATATTATTGGACATTTAAGTTCATTCTGTTTCATAATCATATGCCGTATTATTCATATGAGCACCTATATCGTGACAATTAGCAAATTATCTGTTCCGTAGAGACTGGAGAAAAAGAGGACGTCTCCAAAGAAGATGTGAAAGAGAACTTGGTTATGGTTGGTTAACTGTAATGTGAGGGACGAGACACGGTCAGATAGAGGCAGACGAACCCTGAAAGGAGCAGGCGAAATAACATTAATATTATACTGTGTTGACAGGGACAGTGACGCTGTTGTACGTCATCGCGCAAGCGGCACGTCGCCTGCCGCTTCCGGTACACCGCGTTGCGCAGGCAGAGCCGGGCGGCGCCGCTCCCTTGTTCGCCATACTGACTGTCACGCGGAGCGCAGGACAACAAACGCACTTTTTGCAGAGGCACCTGGAATCACTACTGCACTTAATAAACAGGTAAGAATTCCCGTTTTGACTTAACGAACACGAAGCGCCTCCGTTTTAGCAGTGACATCAGCGATAGGCATCAGTTGTGATTGTTTTGCCGTCACTTTTCCTCCATTTACAGCAGTATAAGTTGTCTTGTTAGCATTAGCCGCCGGCTCTTGTTAGCCCGTTAGCCTTTAGCCACTTGTCTCCAGCATCCCAGACCCACCCTTAATATGACAGGCTCGTCGCCAACAAAAGTGCAGCTATACAATGCAGAAAGAATCCGTTTAAAACAAAAGCTAACACCTAAGAATGGTACTGCAGGTTTTCTGCCGCATTGTCAGAAGTGCTTGTTGATATTGTACGGGTTTTCTGTAAAACAGCATGCCAGTGCACAGAGGTAGTATGCGATAGGTCTTTATTGAAAAAAGGTGACAGTGCAATGGATGGAAGTATAAAATTCAAAATACGAGTCAAGTATCTATCAAAATCCCTTAAAGGCAGACAGAATTTATATTATATTCGTAGAATTGAAATAATTAAAATCTCATAATTCCGAAAGAAATGTATAAAAAAATCTGAGATATGTGAGGTGAAGTTTGAGTGATAAAAAGATAAAGACGAATTTTGAATACAAGTACTAATTTTTTATCTTTTCACAATTATTTATTTTTAATGAAAATCGTTTGAATTCTAAGTACAATGTTCAATCACAAAATTATATATATTTAATTTCAAGTGAAAATTATGTTAAAACAATTGCCATCTCGATCTGTTTTTGTCTATATGTTTTGCACTAAATGTATTAGATATTCTCCTCTTGATTGCCCATCTTAAAAAAATGAAAATCTATATATTCAAATATAGCAGCAAAACAAAGGTTTGCATTAGGGAATTGTTTTATTTGGCTCGGTGTTAGAAATGGGTAGGCTAACATGTTAGGTCAAGAAACTAGAATATGTTGGCTTCCTAATCTGAACAGAAAACAGAAGGGTGTAAGTTTGGCCATAAAAGACATAGGGTGTTCTTAACTTATTTCCTACGCAAATTATTGGCTTCATTGAATTATTAGGATTCAGTTTCTGGGCAAAATCAGTGAACTCTTGTCGTGAGAAGCTATATTTCTGACTGTTTTTTTGTTTTTAACTTTCCATGTTTATTTCTGTACAAGTGATTCTGAGAAAGAAACTTGGCCCAATATCCTGCAGTTTGTCACTGTTTACCAGTAAATGGGGCAGTGGTGGCCTAGTGGTGAAGGAGGCGGACTTCGGTCCGGAAGGCCCCAGGTTCGAATCCACCAACTGCCAGGTTGCCACTGAGATGGCATCGTCCTCAAGCACTGCTCCCCGGGCGCCGCCCACTGTTCACTTTGGTGATGGGTTAAATGCAGAGGGTAAATTTCATTGTGCATGGTGTGCTGTGCTGTGTCACAATGAACTTTAACTTTAAGGTTAAGTTTAAAGTAGTTCCCCTTTGGTAGAGGCCTGGATATGCTCACGAGGAAAATCTCAGTCATTTCGCAGCCTCCTGAGAAATGAAAGAACATTTGCAGTTTTTACTTCTTCTGTCCATGTGAATTTGACCTTTTTCTCTGCTTCCTGTCTTGCTGGCTGTGTTTCCTCTATTCCTACTGAGTAGGGTGGGTTTTGTCACATGGGTGCATCCCATGTTGTGTATTCAGCTGTCTTTGTTGAACCTGTCCTTTTGAAATGTTCTTAATGTCAAATTAAAGCCATTGTTGAAGAATTGAAAGAATGACATACTTTAAAAATGAGTAACAAAAATGCAGAATGTCTTTTAAACCAAGGTGTGATGTAAATAACAGATTTACTCTGAAGCCTTGTCCCCACTTAGATTTTTCTGTCATGTCATAGAGCCTTGATCTGAATTTTGCCTCATGCACATGTCAAATAAGGTGTTGTGGGTGTATTTTGAAATTAGAGCTGTTAGAGCTGTGCTATATTATCCATCTTCCTCTGAGTTCTGCACAATCATTCCATACAGTTTGAAGGTCTGAAGCCAAATCCCACTCTTCATAGAAAGCCGAAAAGCTGTATTCTTTTTCTAAAAATAAGGAATTGAAAAAGGTGTATTCAGGCTAACTGTGTCCTGTGGAAAATATTTTTGAACTGAACTATTCATTTTGTAGTTTAACCTTTAGTCTTGCAGGAGTAAAATGCATAGTTGCAGGTTTAGACACGTAAAGGAGAAAACATGGGGAAGGCTATTTTCATTGACTCTGACTACATGCCTGAAGGTGGAATCTTTGTCTCTTCTGTGCACTTCTTTAACTACCTGCTTGTTATATGGTATAGATATTAGAGAAACATTGTAAGAAATTGGACACACAATGTCCATTAATGATGAAAATATAAAAGACGGTTCCATGCGGACCCCAGGTCATTTACTCTTGAACATTCTCACTGTGTGGCAAAATGTTGGCTCAGGCCAGAAAGCTGTGACCGTTGTTTGCTTTATTGTCTAATGTCTTAAAGTGGCCTCATTCATGATCCTAAAGGAAGAATATGCAAAAAAATGTGGGAGAGGTGAAACGAGAGTCAGACAGGTTGATGTGTGTGGAGGTAAAGATAGGAGTGATGATAAATGTTGTTAGCGGTTATGCCCCACAGGTGGGCTGTGAGTTAGAAGAAAAGGAGAAGTTCTGGAATAAGATGGATTGGATGATAGAGGGTATCCCCAAGGCATATGAGGAGTTATATGAGAGTTTGGAAACAAAGGAAGGAGAAAAGGAGTTGTATAGATTGGTGAGACAGAAATCAAGCTGGGAAGGATGTGCAGCAGGTGAGGTTGATTAAGGACAGAGGGGGGAATGTGATCACAAGTGAGGAAAGTGTGCTGAGAAGATGGAAGGAATACTTTGAGGAGTTGTTAAATGAGGAAAATGAAAGGGAAAGTAGAAACGAGGAACCAGAGACTAGTAGGAAGGAGGTAGATCAGGTTAGAAAGGATGAAGTTAGAAAGATAAAGATGCTAAGATTCTCTCTAGGAGTGACAGGAATGGACAGGATCAGGAATGAGGTCATTAGAGGGACAGCACAGAAAGGAAGGTTTGGAGAAAAAGCTAGAGAAGCCAGATTGAGATGGTTTGGACATGTGCAGAGGAGGGACAGTGGACACATTGGTAGAAGAATGTTAGAGATGGAGCTACCAACTAATCTTCTTACATCCACTGTTTGGGTATGTCATATTCATTGACAGTTTGCTGCTCGTTATGTTTGTATTGTATTGTATTTTACCTGTTTGTGTGTTTTTACTGTTTACTGTTGTTTTGGTGCTATAATGCTGCTGGATCTGAAAATTTCCGAAGGGAACTTCCAAGGGATTTATACATTTCTATCTATCTATTGCATCTAAATGTTGTACTTTCTATAGATACAGAAAAGTTGAACAGGATAGGACATAAAATTGCTTTTCTCCTAGCTGTTTTCTCCAAAAAGTGCTGTAGCTTGTTTACCCTGCACACAACAGGGTGCCAGGAAATGAACAAGATTGGACACATTGTTTTGTTGTTTACTTAGTTGTCATTTGTTTATGCAATTTGGCTGTTAGATAGCAAAAACTGTGGTATGCAACATGGAAATACTGTTTTTTGTGTATGTGAAACCTAAGTCATTCTGCAAAGAGCCTTAAAACTATCATTTGTCCAGACGTAACAGTAGAACCCAAATGTAGGTAAAATAAAGGTTAGCTCTAAAGATGCACCGACCAGATAGTGATACTGATTCCAGGGCCTTGTGTATTGATTAATACCGAGTTTGATTGGCAGATAGTGATACTCATTCCAGGGCCTTGTGTATCGACTAATACCAAGCTGATACCATTATTGAATTAATAAAAAGTAATAAGTAATAAAAAGTTTCCATTTGGTGCAGACTGAAGTCCTCATTTAAACAATGCTTTCCTAACCTTGTAGAACAAATGAAACAGGTTAACACATTGGTAGTAATTCATAGACTTTTATTTATTATTAAAATATACGATATTAACAGCTATTCAAATATATATGCTCCACCGGTAATTTGTAACAGTATTTAAAGATATGATTAATAAAATTAAACTTTTTTACTTGGGTCTTTTGTAGTGTAAACAATTACAAATATTATTTATGGTTAACTGAAGCCTAATCACAACATGCAACATTGATGTCTGTCTGTGTGCATGGGATAAATATTATCCAGAGTCACAGGTTATAATTGCATAATGTCTGATGTTGCTGTTCTACTCCTCTGTCTACAGAACCATGGTTCTTGCAGTACAAAATCTACTTTAGCAGGAAGCTGTTGCAGGATAGCATAACATTTGAATCAAAAGAGCTATATATGTTTTATTGCATTCTATTTACTAGAATCCTGGCTCTGTTGTTTTGTGTAGCGCTTTGTATGTGTATTTGGGAATGAAATAAATGTTTTGCTTCTGCAGAGGAAGGTTTTCCCTAACATGTTGGCATCTATCAATCGTTTATAACTAGATTGAAATAATTAAGCTGGGATTGTACAGGCATTTCAACAAATAACTGATTTGTTGTAAAATGCATCTGCACCTTTTTTTGTGAAATTGTTTGATCTTTGTCATAGTGCTTTATAAACACGCCTTTATTTTTTCCTTTCTTACTGGCTCACGACTGTTGTTTCTCCCTGGGTGCGTGTGTGTTACACCATTGTGCTCAGATTTCAGAAATTTGATTGGCTGAATTTGAGTTTCATGTGACTGCTTTATACATTTCTAGGCTGCAAGGAAAGTTGACCAATTTTAAATAGATTTCTTTCTTTTCTATTCAAAAGCCTGTGTGTCTGGACATAATAAATGTACCATGTGTCAATGAGGTTACAGTATGTGTTGCCCCAGAGACAAGTCATGATCATCTGTGTCCAAATCTGACCTTAGGAAATTGCTTACAGACCACAATCTATTGATTTTTCCCTTTCTTTAAGCGTTTTACACTAAGAAATCAGTTTTTTTATCACGGTTGTTAAGCCATTTCTGTGAATAATGCTGAGTTTTAGATGAAATATTAAACGATAATTTGTTATAATTTGTTGAACAGAGGGGTACACTACAGTAGTGTTATGGCAGTATGTTTTCACCCTAGTATGTAGAAGAACTATAATTTCTGGGCTTGTTGATGACCGTAAAGGTGTCATTTGTTTTTTATTACCCCTGCAGGCAAACTTTGTTAAAACTATAGGAACACACATTTTTTCCCCTTACTGACCATTGAGGACATAATGCCTGGGCCTGTGAAGGCCCACCCTTAGGGAATGGGCTTTGTTTCATGTGATGCATGACACCTCACTTGTTACTCCCGTAGTGCTGATGGTATTTCAGAGAAATGTGTACAGATGAGATCACACAGCAGCAGAGTTAGCTCATCATCAGCAGTATAAAAGAAACGCGGCTGGTGTTGTTACTGTTTCCAGCACAACTTTACAGAGAAGCAACAAAACAGTAGACTGCTTACTTCCTCACTGAACGGTGCTGTAGTCATCTGGTTGTTGTCAAAGAGTATTTGAGGGAATACAAAAGTAAATTATGTCAGGATGTTAGTTTGAAACTCTGTTTTTCCTAATCTTTACAGCTTTCTTTATTGCCCCTGTTTGTATACGTTTTTAACCAACATTTCTTTTTCTTGCTGCTTTGTGTCCAGACATGGCTGAGGATGACGACGTGACTCCAGAGCAGCTACAAGCCATTGCCGCTGAAAATGAAGAACAAGAGAAGGTGACATACAAGACACCGGCCCAAAAGACATTGCAAGAGATCCACGAGCTGGATAAGGATGATGAAAGCCTGCGCAAATACAAGGAAACTCTGCTTGGCCGGGGCATCATGAATACTGGTAATGCATTTTGCCTTTGTGTGTGCAAGAAACAGGAAATTGGTGCTTAGTAAATTAGCAGCTGGTGTACTTTACCTCACATAAATTCAATATGTGCAGTATCTTTCTGTGATAGACACACACTGCTTTGCTAATGAAATGATGATGTTGCAGCATTGATAGCCTCATATCACTGCTTTGCTAATGAAATGATGTTGCAGCATTGATAGCCTCATAGTCTCAATTTGCAACTATACTTAAAGTGCACAAAATGAAAATCTGACAATATGTGCTGTATATGTGTGAACAAGTATAAAGACATGCCTCTTCTTACAGAGGGGCATTTATGATTTTTCACACATTTGAATAGTGATTTGAACACTGAGAAGGACAGTTTAAATGTGAATGCTAAAAACATTGTAGCATAGTCATGCTACAATGTTTTTAGCATTCAAATTTCTGGAATGCTGGGTGATGTGTGTTAGCTTTTTTAGCCTTAGGCAAGAAAAGACAGCAGTAGTATGTGTTCTACCTGCTAGGCACAAAGTTAAAAAAGTACAAAAATAGACACGTGGAGCCAGAGCTTCTAAATAGCAGCACTTTTGAAAATTTTTAAACAACACAAAGACTTTTCACCCTTCCACCACTTACTGATAATCGGTGGCCCGTGTTATGCAAGAAACGCATAAGTCTGAGTGACCCCTTGGCTCCTTTGGCTGACTGCTTTAACAAACACTATACCAGAAGTATAGTAAAAGGTTAAAGCCGCAATAACTTCATCTGTATCTGGAAATCTGTTATTTAAAAATTAAAAATAAATAAATTAGTACTATATTGTTTCCATATTTGGAAAATTGTTGTGTTAGCAGCAGATATGCTGTTAACAGGCTGCCCCCAGCAGGCGCCAAGCATTGTCTTCAGAGATAGAGACTGCAACATGTACAGTACCTATCATAGGTATTCACCCCCTTGGATGTTTTACCCTTTTAGTGCTTTCATAATGATAGGCACTGTATATTACTACTAGTTATAGTTGTTTGTTGAGTTATAACAATGAAAAAGGAAGCAATTGTTTGCAGCTGACAAGGCTATAAAAAAAGATTTGGACCAAAACCTATTTTTCAATCTAATAAAAAAATGTCAATGATCTAGAACAAAAAAGGGCAACAGCTTATGGTCAACCATTTTGTGGATTGTACTGCCAGATTTTCCTCAGCAAAGGTCTGCTGCTAATTAATTATTTCCACCACTGCTTCAGAATTTGGGCTTTGGCGTCATTGTCTCTCTTTAGCAGTTACAGTACCGCAAAAACAAACCTAAGGTACCTAACCAAAAACATTTAAAGTTCATCAGAATTATTAGGCACTACTAAGTTGTTGGTGAGGATGGGCTAAGTATTTGTTAATGAAAGCCAGATGATAAATGCTCCGTCTCTCAGAAATCTCAGGCACACCATCTAAGTGGAATTACAAAGTAGTCTGTTCCAACGTCAGTGGAATTGCACTTTTTCAACTCTAACAAGACGTCAAAGCTCAAATCTGGCAGGATGCCAGAAAAAGTTTGGCATCTAAGAATATTTAAAAAATGACTGTTTGAAAATATAATTTGTGGAAAAGAACATACTGTAAAGTAACGTTTAGTGACATGTTCTTTCTTTTGTTTCTCTGTTAGATCCTAGCACTCCCAATGTCCAGGTGACCCGGATGTCTTTAATTTGTGAAACTGCACCAAAACCTCTGGTTCTAGACCTGCAAGGTAAGTCACTGCCACTTGTGTATTTCTATGAACTCCAATAATAAAACAACACAATCAATTTATCTACAAAGGATTAGTTCAAAACTGGACCAGATTATAACTGGCACACTGGCTACTAAGGTTGACATCAGTTTGAAATATAATAATTCCCATCCAGCTAATTAGTTCAGCTTTGTGTAGCTTGCAGTTATAATTTATGGAGTTACAAAAAAAGTGAGTGCTTATATGTTGTAAGTGGGATGTCCTAAATGAGAGTAAGATGTAGACAGGCTGTTACTTAGGATGGATTTAATATGGTGACATGTTGCTGCATGCTGTTTGAACATATATTATACCTTACATACCTCCATTGCCTGTCTTAGAATTTTTTTGCTAGCTGTTTTAGGTGGCAGTAGCCGTGTTTTTTCTAGTTTAATGGAGCATTGCTGTTGAATGCTGATTAAATTAAAGATCAACACAAAAATACTAACAATTAAAGATACAGTGGTATGAAAAGGTTTGGGCACCCTTGATCATTTTCAAGATTTTCCTTTATGTATCATTGGTTGTTCGGAACAGCTATTTCAATTAAATATATCATATAGCAAACAAACACAGTGATATTTAAGAAGTGAAATGAAGTTTATAGGATTTACAGAAAGTGTGCAATAGTTACTTAAACAAAAGTAGGCAGGTGCATAAATTTGGGCACCCCAACAGCAAAATTACATCAATATGTAGTAGATCTTCCTTTTGCAGAAATAACAGCCTCTAAACGCTTCCTATAGCTTCCAAATAGGGTCTGGATTGTGGTTGAAGGTATTCTTGACCATTCTTCTTTACAAAACATCTTCAGTTCAGTCAGGTTTGATGGTTTCCGAGCACGGACAGTCCGCTTTAAAACAGACCACAGATATTCAATGATATTCAGGTCTGGGGACTGAGATGGCCATTCCAGAACGTTGTACTTGTTCCTCTGCATAAATGCTTTGGTAGAATTTGAGCTGTGTTTAGAGTCGTTGTCTTGTTGAAGTATCCAGCCCCAGCGCAACTTGAACTTTGTCACTGATCAGGGGTGGCCAAACTTTTTCATACCACTGTAAATATATGCCAGACACAAACAGGAAGTTATGAGGACGCAAAAACTGTGGACAGTGCAGGCTAGTCGGATATTCGAAATTTTCTTTTTGACTAGGCAAAACAGCATTAGAGAAATCTGCAGTACATATCCAGCTTAGTGTTTAAATGTTAAAATGGCTTGCCATAAGTACTAACATGTCTGCGGTGTGGACAAACAACATTTAATAAATCTGAGATTGACCCACGGATAGCGATTTATTGGAATTTGGAGAGGGCATGAAAACACGCTTCACTGAGATCTATTCGTATCCCCTGCAGTTGTCGCGACTGTACTTGATCCACGTTATAAAGATCATTACGCTTATTAATGATCAGAGCCGCTATGGACGCGGAGAACCCGCTTTGGATACGTCCATATTTTAATGTAATTAGCGCGGCTGTTGCTTTAGTGGACCTGAATTTACCAGAACATTCTGTGTTCCTGTGTCTCGCTTCCCTCTGCATCATTCTTCATTCTCTGTCCTTCTAAGCTGAATATAGTCTCCGCCCACTCAGTCAATACCTGGACTCCCTGCCAGTAATGTAATCTTGCAATATTGCTGCTTGTTCAGCTATAAAACAGAGTTTTTTATACAGTAAGCTAAGAAGACACTGCAACGCAGTGGTAATGTTGTTATTGATGACCTGCCAAAGTGGAAAGACTGTGAGCAGCTTTTCCAAAAGTAGAAAAAACAGAATTCAAAATGACCTACTTTGTGTTTTACTGCTTTAATATGTCCCCTCTGTTATTTATTGTGTTTAGAAAAGCATTCAAAGTAAGAATGTGTGATGTTAGTAACTCTGTTATTTCAAAGTAAGAATGTGTGATGTTAGTAGCTCCAGGGTTTCTTCCTGATCCTGATGAATGACATTTAAAATGTATTTTGGTGAAATACGTTGTAAAGTTGTGTGTCACAGTGCGCCTGACATTTCTGCTAAAGATGAGTCACCCAGACTTCAGCATTGACTTAGCAGTGTGATTTGGGTAGCAGTCGCCACCCAAATCACACTGCACCGTACCAACCCCCCAAACCTTCCTGTGGGTGGTGAGTCCACTGGAAGGTACCAACCGCCCTAACCGGGATTCGAACTTGCCCAGGAGGTGAACCGTGGGGTTCCACACCAATGACAGAGACATTGCCTCTGGGCCAAAGCGCCACTGACACTGCAGCTAGTGTTATTCCAATATGGAGTTGATAGAGAGGGTGGAGAAATAATTTAAATTAAATAATTCAAATTTAATGTTTTTTTTAAACTGTTGTCAGTCGTTACCACATAATGAAAGAGGTGGCGCTTGTTTGACCATGCCTGACCTTTTGCTGCCATATGAGAATCTCATGGCAGTAGAGCATAGATATAATCTGAGTCCAAGGATTAGGCATAAACTGTATGTATACTTTAGTTTGGAGACCAGACTATGCATTATGGAAGTGCCCACAAAACACCAAAATCTCTGTGTGCGCCTGTGTTGGTGTGACACTTCTGATGTAGTCCAGGTTTACATCCTATAAGCACACATGCACCGTGACTTACAGCCATTGTCAAACAAAGCGCCTTTGTGAATAAATATTTGTATTAACCACAGTCTCTTAGTTGTTAGCACTTTAGTAATGTGTAGAGTAACAAT